ATGGATGGATGGATGGATGGATGGATGGATGGATGGATGGATGGATGGATGGTTAGGTGAACAGACCAACTATTGATATGTGGAAGATAGATGAAGAGATAGACAAACAAAAATAAATAATTCCAGAATTGTCAAGTCAATGTATATAAATGAACCTTTGATACACAATCTCTTTTTCAGGAAAAGGGCCTTTATATCATGATAACTTGTTTAATTTTGTTTCAAGCTTCCTCATCATTTTATGTAATAATATTGAAATGTGGCTCATTGAGGAAAACAGGAATGAAAGTAAATGATGCGTGCACAACAGTGACGAGCAAACAGGACTATCACCAGCAGCAATCAGATAAAGAAACAACTGCTAATTAATATTCACTGCCAAAATGAGGGTCTCTCTCTGACTGTTGGGTTTTATCACTCGCTGTGCGACTTGCCAGGTTGGAAAATCTGATAAGACAACACGAGGTGTAGGAGGATAATAACCAGACATGTGGCTGTAGTTTGGCAGAAATAAATCCGAGTTAGCGGCTCTGTGATTCAGAAATATAACCTTATACAAAAAAGAGCTGCACAGGTAACTTTATAAAGATGCTGAAGGTGATTTTAAATATAGTTTTTAGTGTAAACTGTAAACGTTTTGGTAGTTTGAAGGTACAGTGGTTAGATACGTAAATCTTTAAGAAGTCAAACTCTGACTCTTTACTCCATAAACAATGAAATAAATGCTTTTTGCTCTACAGTGTTGTTTCTTTAATAATAGCAATCTCACCCACATGAACACATAGATGCATGCACGCAGAGAGATTGCTGTGCATACAGATGCTGCTGAGTGGGAGTGAAGCATCAGCCAAGGGGAAAGGAAACAACAAAATAAAGAAACGGTGAAAGCGAGAAAGACAGAGATACAGAGAGAGAGAAGAAAAAAGGGAGCTGGACTACGAATTAGAGCGGTGAGCTGTAGGGAGTGGGTCAGTGCCGTTGAGTCAGCCCTGACTCACGATGGAGGCGATGAAGATCCACCTCCTCCCTGCCCATTACAACTTTATCCTGGAGCCTAGAGCTCTGGAGCAAAACACTCCCACGTAAATGGTCATTCTAAGTCCTGGATGTATTCTATATGTGTCTTATAAATATAAAAGTTATTCCATTATGGTTTTGCTTGAGTACCCTAAATGTCAAAATACATTTCTTTCCAAAACATGGTTTAATTTGCGTCAATCGTCAGCTGTCTAGCATGGGGTCTTTACTGATTTTTCTGCAAGATTGCACCAATATTTAGTGACACTCTGTACCTCAAAAATAATAATGAGATTAAAGCTTGTGTGATAGGAGAACGTTGCAGTGGATACGTCATAGTTTGCAATATTTTCAACTTTTTAATCAACATTATACGATAGTTAAAATGTTTTAGGTTATGTACCAACCAATTTGCACATCTAGAGCATGACGGTTTTGTTCCTTCTTTGCAAAATATTTTAAGCTTTGTCAGATTGGATGTAGAGTGTTTGTGAACAACAGATTCCTGTTTGGACATTTGAGGCTCACTAAGTGATTTTGTTTAGTCTCTAGCCACAGTTCAAGAATGGAACAGAGTTGGCTGACAAAAAAAATGCCAATGCAGATTAAGTAAAATAAGGTCAAAAAATATTATTTGTCTTTAAATGAGGCAGTTAAGTGATACCATATGTATCTAACCAATAGTATTTACAGATTGGATGTTAATTTTTTTGTCTTTGATGAGAAAATGCGTTTCTTGCTAAAATTGTATTACTGTGAACTAATGGTTAATGTTATTTAATTATTTTATCATCCCTATGAGACTTTTTGGTGAGATAGGCCTCTCTTGTCAGCAACACCATAAACCTTAAAAAACACAAAGGCTACAACTCCTTTATAAAATCGAAGATAAACAGAATGAACTGGTTGGCAGAAATGCTCCCAGCTCCTCGTGGCTGCAGCTATATATAAAGATGACTTGTGGTTAAAGGAATGTCAAAGATACACTCAATCACTAGGGCTTCTCAAAAGGAAGCTCAAGCCACCCTTGCCTAAAGGTTTCTTTTTGAAAAATCAATTAAAAGAAAGGCAAATAATCCTTCTAGCCTTTTCTGAATCTGAACAAAAGTTTTACCCAGATTCCCCATGTGCTGATCTTCGATTGCAGATTTTCCTGCAGGAATCTCAACTTTTTGTCTCCATGTGGATTAGAAGGCTCTGGTTAGATATACAAAAAAATGACTTTCCAGTGTGCTGATGACACTTTTTTGGCAAAGTAGAACTTAAATCAAATCTAGGAGTTAAACTCTGGGATGAAAAAATAGCAGAGATTGGGACTGAACCAAAAACACTTGGATTGTGAACAAAGATAACCAGCTGATGGACCCTGACAAACGTTTTAATATCTTCCTTCTGGCCTTTTCTGATGCTTTTTGTTCACTAAGATTCTCTAAATAACCTCTGAGACCTTCACAAACAGCTGGATTTATACCGTACAAGTGCAACTGTTTGCACCGGAGTATTATAGTATAAAGGAAAGAAGTACCACACTTTATAATGATGGTGTCCTTTTCTCACCTATTCATAATTATATAGAATTTGGTGTTTGTCGATCTCATAAAATTACAATGAAATATATAAATGTTTATCCTCCCAGTCTGAAAAAAGGTGAGTGTTGTACCTCACACTGTTTATAAATATTAATGCTCTAGATTTCGAGGACCCAGGTGTCATCACTGGGTTATGTGAATTCTCAAATGAGCTCCTGTTTATTTTTATGCATTTCCAAACGCAGCTTAAATCATCCATCCAATTATGCAGGAAAATGAAAGGGATTGGTTATTTTAATGCAGAAGTTCCAGCACCACTGACAGCGCCTTGGGTTTGGTCAAACAGTTGGGATGAGCTGCGGGAAACAAAGCCCTCACAGGAGCTGAATATAGAGTTGACACTTGCTGTGGTCCATTCTTCTCAGCACTAATGTGGACCCATGTGTACACATGTAGCAATCATCAAGACGACCAAAAGGAAGCAAACATAATGTATACAGTCAGGTCCATAAATATTGGGACATCAACACAATTCTAATCTTTTTGGCTCTATACACCACCACAATGGATTTGAAATGAAACAAACAAGATCTGCTTTATCTGCAGACTTTCAGCTTAAATTTGAGGGTATTTACATCCAAATCATACGAACGGTGTAGGAATTACAACAGTGTGTATATGTGCCTGCCACTTTTTAAGGGACCAAAAGTAATGGGACAATCTGCTGCACAGCTGTTCCATGGCCAGGTGTGTGTTATTCCCTCATTATCCCATTTACAAGGAGCAGATAAAAGGTCCAGAGTTCATTTCAAGTCTGCTATTTGCATTTGGAATCTGTTGCTGATCTACAGAGCTGTCGCTATCA